ACAGCGGGGAAGCCGCCGCTTGTTTTGTACAAGTGATCTCAGTGATTTCTCCGAGATCACTTGTATGCAGCCTGCAGGTCTGCCATTCTCCATGGGGAGGGGGGGGTTGGCGGGTTGGGGGGTGCATTGAGGAACCTGGCCTTGGGGCAGCAGAGAGCAAATCCGGTCCTGGTGGCAGGATGGCAGGAATTAATTTTACGATCAGGTCGGAGCAACTTATATGCAGGCATCAGAAACTCACCGATCCGCTTCCATCTCCGACTGCATATCTCACCGGATGCAGGCCAAAAGGTGCGCTCTCACCGAACAATCCTACAAAATCAGCCGCACATAGCCGCTGTCCATGTAAACAAACTTTATATTAATAAAATCCAAAGTCCAGCATATACACCCCCAGAACACTCTTCCCACACCACCAACTCTTGCATGTCTCACCACATGGGACAGGTACCTCTATGATTAAGCCCAGGTGGTGAAATGCGTAAGTGGTGGTGGTGTATATGCTGGACTATGGATTTTACTAATATGAACCGTAATAAAGTTTGATTTCATGGACACCGGCTGTGTGCGGCTGATTTTGGAGGATTCTTCAGGTCAGAGTGACTTATTGTGGGATGATTCTACCTTGTCAGATGCACTCAATCCACACGGAATTAAAATGATAACAATTGCCTGAAGAATCTGTTTCAGTGTCACGGTGACATCTACCTCTGCCCATGATAACTATTCAGCTACAAATGTGTAATACTCGTATGGCAATGCGTGCCGCCTATTCGTCTCTTACCCTCCGCCGCTGGATTGGCCGATATGATGCATTTTAACAAAACCTCTAAGCCGGCGTTGACCAGGGCACTTTGTAAGGGGATCTCAAATACAGGGGGCTCCCGAGGATCTTCTTCCGCTGATACGTAGGAATCGTCCGATGATTCTGAAAAGGTTGGAAACAATGTTACAATGTGAAATAATGAAATCAATAAGTGATGCTATAAAATGTGGAAATGTAATAAAACGTATTCTCTGGAATTATTTCATGGGGCATGTAGGGGGAGGGGATTTGTATATATTATTTTTTTATTATATTTGTTACTTAAAAATGTTTATTTTTAGGCTTGGTTCATACCATTCCGTGTGTGTTTTTATTACTTTTTATGCACATTTTACTGTAATTTTTCAGGAGCATTGATGCGCTTTTTATGCTTTCTGTGCTACTTCATCAGGCTTAGTCAGCCAATAAAATGGTGAGTAAAGTTGAGGTTACCATTTGCTGGGAAAGTTCTACTATGCAATGTAACATGTGTCGTCATCCGCTGCCATTGAAATGAATGGGGACTAACATCTAAAATCTGAATTGGTGCTGACACTGTCCTTCCTTCTGGAGGGGGGCTACTTTTGTTCCCCATGGTCCCTGTGTGTGTTGTGAAGTTGTCACCGCTCCAAGCTCGCTCCCAGGATATACTACAATCTCAATACAAATTATTAGGGATGCACCGATACCGGTTTTTCGGTATTGAGTACGAGTACCAATTCTTTGGTTTCGATACTCGTCGATACCAAGTACCGATACCGGTGCTTCCGCTGTCATGGAGCAATCTCGGGCAATCTTGTCTGGCTAGCTTGATTGTGCTTGGCCGGGAAACCGGCTTCCCAGCCAATCAGCATCGAGCCGGCTCAGTAATCAGTAATTACCCTGCTCCCAGCTTCCTGTTCGGCTGGCTCGATGCTGATTGGCCAGGAATCAGCATGGAGCCGGCTTCCCGGCCAATCGGGAGGCCGAGAGGTGGGTCATTACTCGACGCCCAGTTTCCTGATCGCATTGGAAGCTGTCTCCATGTTCCCTTTCCTCTAAACAGAAGTTCCGGTATCGGGGAAGGTATCGTAGCATTCCCACAAATTAACAAACTAAACGTGAGATTGCAGTCCATCACGGGAGCAGTCCATCACGGGAGCGAGCTTGGAATAAGATACATTGTTGTTAATAGTTGGGGTATTTGGGTAGAATGAAGAAGAGGCTGCAGGGATATCTAGACCCTAGACCAAAACGAGCAATTAACTCTTGCAGTGTGGGGGTAGCCCCACTGCAAGGGGTAATTTTGTAAATGTCCTGAGTGCCTCTTAAGCTTTTATGAGATTTGATTGGGTATAGATCTGCTTGGTAGAGGATTCAAGTTTTCAGCAGATGCTGGTGAGCTTAATCACCCATCATCTTCTATCATCTCTCAGGACCCCCAATATCTCCCCACACCAGTTTCCGGTTTTCCTCCCACTGCCCCGGAATTTCACTTCCCTATAATGTTATTTTGTAGCACTTTTATTTATTGCATTTGTCCTCTCTTATCGACATACCTATTTCTGGTGACATGACCCTGTGCCGTCGACTCTTTCCTTTGCTTTTGGATGTTTTGCTGCTTTTGCCACTAGTGTGTGAGTCACTGTGCTTTTTGCTTTGCCCCCCACCCTTCCCTTGCGGGGCTTGGCTTCTTTTGGTAGGTTCAGGTGGTACAGCCCATGGGAGGTATCTGGTCTCTCCTCTGGAGTCTGCACTCAAAGTTCCCTTTTCCCTCCCTATCCCTCTGTGTGCTATCTCCAGAGCTGGTGGAGCGTGTGTGCTGGGTGGCGGCGGCTCACTTCCACGGTCTGGAACTTTCCGGTGCCTGGAATCTGTAACATCCTGCTTTGGCATTTGCGCGTGGGCCGAAACTGGTTTTGGAGCAACGATATTGATTTTTGGAGGTGCTTGTGACATCAGGCGGGTTTCTGTTTGCTTAACAACTTCATGGTGAATAATTGAACCGTTGGATGATTTTTCTGGCACTGAAGTTGTCTGGCTTATGACTCCCCGAGTTTCCTTGTCTTGCGACATTTGGTTGGCGGTGGCAAAGCTTCGTGCAAGAGGCTTCCGGGCAGTGACCATAGTTGCTGGCTTTTGTTCCTGAATTTCAGGTGGCTTTGAGTCTTTAAGCACTTGGTTTGGAGCAGAATCCGGAGCACGTTGGCTAGAAAGGGATGTCTGTGATTTGTCGGCTAAGTCCTGTGATGACCGGATTAATTGTTGCTGAGAAACAGTTTTCTTGATTCGAGAGAGCTCTTGGGAGAACCTTGCCTCAATGTCACTTATTCGACCAGAGAAGGCCCCCCTATCGTCTAGTGAAGACGTTTTGCATCTCAGTGATGGATACCTCGAGGTATAACCTCCGATTTATGATCTTACGCCTTCTCTTAGGTCATCTCTTAGCTCCTCGGTGGAGGACTCTAAGCCAGCGCCCAGTCCATCTGCCCCTGGTTAGTCAAAGGACCTTGCCTTACGAAGGGGCAACCATGACTGCACGAGGAATGGACTATCTGTATGATCCAGGCTTTTTCTTCTTTCTTCAAGGCAGCGCAGCTTATCAAATATTTTGGAGCCAGAACGGACCAGCTTTGGAGATGCCCGCAAGATGGACACTCTTCCTGATGATTCACTGACTGGCGTCTGAGGGCGAGACTCTTGACCACTGACCTGAGAGCCGGCTGAGGACTTTGGCCTCTTAACCTTCTCCTCAAACTCCTCAGCCACTGTGTCTTGGTACTGTGAAGGCATCTGGGTTTTCTTTCTTGGTGTGAGAGGGTTGGGTAGGCCACGGCCGCTTGGTAGAGGATTGGCAGACGGCCTTTGGCCTAGACGGGGAGAAGGAGGAGGTAGAATAGGAGTTCTGGGACTCTGAAGTGGTCGGGGAGAGTCTGGGACAGCACCATTGATGCTGCCTCGCCTCAGCCCCCCTTCTGGTAAAAAACTGCAATGGAAAAGAAAGATTCAGAATCTGTTTTAGTCCAATAATTATATATATTCATTTTAAACAGAGCCTGTCAGGAACTGAAATATGTGAGCTGCCACCACTGACTTGTTTTTTTAAAGTGCAAGCTCTGGATCTGTCATCCTTGCTTCACTACCAAGACAATCATAGATACCCCACCCCCCACCCAGGCATGCAGCCAGTGAACTTGCTACTCCTGTCCTGCATAATTCAGGCCAGCTACTCACTAAGCAGTGAACTAAGGATGAGAATGACAAAACTGTTACTTGCACCTTCAACCATACTGGCAACTCCCACATTCCTATCCTAGCATTTTCCCCTTATATGTGTCAAAGCTGAACTGCAGGCAGATAAAAAAAGACTCAAAATAATTGGAGAAGCGGTACAATGAGCCAATCAATTATGCTGCAGTGCAAGGGGCATGTTAATAGGTGGGGAAAGCAGAGTGACCTAGAAACCAGGCTGCTGCCAGTCACAGGCTGTGGGAGGGACAAGACCTGTAATTATTACTGAACTGCAGCAGAGAAAAATCAGGTCTCTATCCCTGCTAGACAGGGCTGTGCCGTGTGGCAGAGTTGTGTAAATCTCTGGCATGGATGGACAGAATTACATCTCCCTTATATGTTTTTCATCTGTTTATTTTGCTGTTTTACCTGGAGTTCAGCTTTAGCTTTGTGTATTATTTTAGTATTTTAGGGTTATTTACTAACATTACATTCGTAAGTATGTATCTCTTGTATGCCATAGCAACCAATTAACATTGACCTGTATACTGTATATTAGTTAATGGAAGCTAAGGGATAGTTGGTTGCTATGGTGTACTTCAAATGTACGCATAAATGCAATGTCCATCATAGTATTTGATAAATATGTTGGTATTTGGTTAATTAGCAGGTTTGCTTAGACTGAAGTAGAGTCACCTTGCTGTATGACACATTACATTATAGTATTATCCAAGCAAAGTGTATCAATCATTAGTTTGATGGGGATTATAAACAAGCCAACTGTGTCTCTGAGATACAATTAACAAATGCATGCATAATATAAAAACATATAATGTTGGCGTTTGACTATTTCTAAGAGTATTAGATCAGCTGTGCAGTGGTGGATTCTAATAAGAGCAGAAAGGGCGGTTTACTGGGGCCCCAGACTCAAAGGAAGGCCTATGGGAATGCTGAAAAAAAAATCTGCACTTTAATGCTCTTCATAGTTTTAGCTTTGCAAGACTTTAGACTTTTTTGTGTTCAGAAGGTGACCAGCAATGACAATCTTCATATTGCAACAAAGATTGTCACACAAAAGTAGGCATTAGACATGAAAGCTGCCAAAAAATTCAGTTCGGTTGGGATATTTCGTTATTTCGGATTTCGGATCCGAAATTCAATTCGGTTCAGGTTTCAGATTCGGACGAGATCTGAATTGCGTTAGTTTCGGATGAGTTTAGGTACGAATATTCATTGCGACTACCACAGAAAACCATATACAGATATTAAAGGAGAACTATGACATGAGTGATTCCCACTCACCTCATAGTTCTAAGCCGACCTGTGACAATGAGACTGTCACAGGTCGGCTCAGTAGATCGGGAGGTGAGAGAACACATACCGGGTTCCCTCACCTCTCGATCCTGTCACGGCTCTCTGCCGTGACAGGGGGAGGGGCTGGATTCCCCTCTCCCCGCTCCGATCTGCCAGCGCTGACTGGCGGAACGGACGGGCGAGGGGGCGGGTACAGCTGGCTCTGCCTCTAGATAGGCAGAGCCAGCTGTCACTCACGCAGCTGGGCGGATCCCGTCATCTAAGTCGGGATGCGCTCCGGCTGCGGCGTCTCAGTATACCGCGAGCTGTAGCTCGCGGTATACTGAGCTTAGGGTAACGGGAGGACGCTAGTTTGTGTCCTCCCGTTACCCCAAGGAGAACTATGGGGAAAAACACTGACCCCATAGTTCTCCTTTAACACCAAAGATGAATCTCCTAGACCCCAATGGCATTTGGGATCCAAATTTCCGAATTGCATTTTTGAGCTTCTGAATGCTATTCGGGTCTGGGAGCCATATACACATATTACTAAAGCTGAGGCTCCCAGACCCTAATGGTATTTCAGGTGGCTTTGAGTCTTTAAGCACTTGGGTTGGAGCAGAATCCGGAGAAGGGTGGCTAGAAAGGGATGTCTGTGATTTGTCGGCTAAGTCCTGTGATGACCGGATTAATTGTTGCTGAGAAACAGTTTTCTTGATTCGAGAGAGCTCTTGGGAGAACCTTGCCTCAATGTCACTTATTCGACCAGAGAAGGCCCCCCTATCGTCTAGTGAAGACGTTTTGCATCTCAGTGATGGATACCTCGAGGTATAACCTCCGATTTATGATCTTACGCCTTCTCTTAGGTCATCTCTTAGCTCCTCGGTGGAGGACTCTAAGCCAGCGCCCAGTCCATCTGCCCCTGGTTAGTCAAAGGACCTTGCCTTACGAAGGGGCAACCATGACTGCACGAGGAATGGACTATCTGTATGATCCAGGCTTTTTCTTCTTTCTTCAAAGGCAGCGCAGCTTATCAAATATTTTGGAGCCAGAACGGACCAGCTTTGGAGATGCCCGCAAGATGGACACTCTTCCTGATGATTCACTGACTGGCATCTGAGGGTGTCACATATTACTAAAGCTGAGGCTCCCAGACCCGAATGGCATTTAGGAGCTTCCAAATGCAATTCAGAAATTCGGATCTGGAATGCCATTCGGGTCTAGGTGCCTCAGCTTTAGTATTATATGTATATACTGTATATGGCTCCCATGTTGCCGTGATGAAAATTCACGTTCAGACCCATTCGGATGCATTAAACCGATAAACACATCTGATTGGCCAGAAAAGTCACATGTCCGATTCAGTTTAGTTTTTGAACAAAATCTGGACGGGATCCGAAATTAGTAAATGGAAATTCAGATTCGGACACATTCTCATGCACTGGGATTCGGAAATTCTGATGTGTCCGAATGTCTGAAAATTTTTGAAAATTCATCCGAATTTTGATTCAGAACTAAATAAAATCACACGTCTAGTAGGAATACTCCCTTTACCTGGAAGTGGCACATGCCTTGGGACCCAGACAGATCACGAGAACAGCCCCTTCAGTGTGCTCCTTATAAATAGAGAGCAGCAAATGACCATCGCGGAGCTCTGATGGAAGTGATTACTCCAGGACAGCCATGTTCTCCCTGTATAATCTTGAGGAGTTTATAGTCATTAAACGGCTGAGCTGATCATAAATGGTCTGATAAAGGAAAACCGTGCTCCAGCAATGGAGATAATTGGACAGTTCTAATTTCCCGGGGAAGAGCCGCACTTACACTGATCCGAGGTAGAGATAAGGGAATGATTTCATCATTTGTGGTTCGGCCATTTCCTTTTCAAATTCACTCACGTTCGAAATGTGAAAATGTTGCACCAGAAGTCCCATTGAAGGCAATGGAAATCTTCCCTTGCCTCCAAAAAAAGTGCATTACAAATCATCACATAATGCAAAGCAGCATGGGCCACTTGAATATTTCACCAGGGATGCTAAGATAGAAGGGTGGGATTTGGTGACAATGGGGGCTCAGACAATAGCAGAAGCAGATAAAGGCACTGCCTTTTTCTCAGGAGCCTTTTGACAAAAATAACAATTTGGAGTCTGCTTGGGACATCCGAATTTTTCAATTTCAGTCCAAATATAATGTCATTTGAATTTGGGGATAAACTCTAACCAGAGGCTATTTATGGCACTCATCATTGAACTATATCACTACCACCTGGTCCTGGTAAGTCTAAATATGTGTCCAATGCAAAATATAATGTATAATAAATAGTTGCAAACATGTCAGAAAAAAGATAAACATATAAACACACTTTACTTACTTCTTGTTAATAGTTACTTTACAAGAAACAAATAATATTGCATTAAAGCTGAATTCAAGGCCAATGCAAAAAAAATAAAATCCCCATTCAATCTAGTTATATTTAAGGGGGGGGGGGATAGTGGCTTTATACCTATTTTATTCTATTGTATATAAGTATTTTCTATGCAGCCAGTATCTGAAGCGTTAGGTCACCTTTACATGTTTTCCAGTTTCTCCTTACCTCCTGTTGTAAAAAGTCTGGTGTTTGCAGAGCTCAATAACACTAACTCAGAATTGCAGACATATGAGTCTCAACAGTGACTCCTTACCCTCCCACTTCCTCTTTTCTAAAGGTGGCCATACACTTTACAACCATCGCAAGACCTTAGTCTTGCGATGGATGTAAAGTAATTAAAAAAACGTACGATCTGCCCATCTTGGACAGGCAGATCGTACTTGCGATCATCGCAAGCCTGCCCCCCTGAGGGGCGGGCTTCCGATGACCGCAATGCTGAACGGGCAGTGTGCGCGTGCGCACACCGGCCTGTGCGGCATTGATCTTACGAACATGCTAAAAACCAGCCGTAAATCGCACCATTCTCGGCTGGTTTTCTAGCATGCTCCTTAGACAAAAGACGTGCGACCGTACAGTAAAAACGGTCGCACGCCTTCCATACACTTTGCGATTATCAT